GTGAAGCGGCAAGGAGGAGGCAAAGTGGCACCCTAGTGGCATCAGTCTCCACATTTTTTGCACATATGTCTAAATGTACCGAGGCCACCAGGGGACACTATTCAAAAATCGGGGGGAGGGGTGGCTGACCGTCCAACCCCGGTCGTACGCCATTCCGGCAGCCTCATATGACTAATCGAGCGTGGCGGATCATCAGCGAGAACGAAGAGCACCGCAGTTGGTTCCCACCTTGCCACTTTTGCTCTTTATGGCCACTTCAACACTTAGATGCCACCTAAATACATCTTCGGAAAATTCTTGGTTGCCACTCCGCCACTTTCCTCTTTCTTGCCACCTTGCCATCTGAATACCACTTAATATACACTTTGCCACTTATTTGCCTCTTAGTTGCTTACAACCACTTAACTTCCACTACAGGGGCTCTTCGCCACTTACTTTTTTTCCCAGGGCTCTCAAATATGGAGGGGAGCTCGAGACTGATCTGGCAGTTTCTCATATCTGAAAGGCCGCGGAGGCACGTGATTAGTTCGACCAATCAGAGCCATTACGGAAACAGAAAGGTCAGTGAGTTTGTTCTTATGTACTTCCGTTTTAGGTTGCCTGGAACACCCCCTATTCGTTTTCGAGTTATCGTGCGGACAGACACACAGATACACAGACAGACAGAAAACAGTTTTTCCAACCAGACGGAGTAATAGGCTTCGCTAATCGCTCAGCCAATAAATTTTCGAAAAAGTCATTGCGAAAAGCCTATGGTTACGGCTTCACCTTTGAAATGTGAAGCATTAAGAAGTATTTAACTTTCGACAACAGAACGCGTCCTCATCGTGCCAGAACCTGACTTCGCGCAATTTGACGTCCGAAGAGCAAGCCGGTGTTGTTGCTGCGCACAACGAGATTCGCAACCAAATTGCCAGTGGACAGGTGAACAACGGAACCAACGGTGGCCAGCCCAGCGCAACGAACATGCACAGGCTGGTATGAGCCGCTGCAGAGACCCCACAGCGACCATACAACCCAAGCGACCCTCCTGTCTGGACGCAGCTCGTGAGCGCCCGGGGAGGAGTGCGGGCACCTTTTCACCTTCCGTTATTGTTCCTCTTGCTTCCACTCCGCGCTCCATTGGAATACCCTATAGGGACAACGTGTTTCTGAACGAAGAATGGGGTATTTCATCCACTTTAAACCAGAGAAGAACAGTAATGCTTTCTAAACTGTTTCCTCCCTGACGGCTCACGCGCTATAAGTGCTCGGAATAGTCTCCAGGGTAGTCGCTGACCTGGCGGTGGGTCCGCGCCCGCATCATCCAATGAGCGTCTAGGAGGAAACATCTTCTTTTGGATCCGGTTTACTCTGGGTGAAATACCCCTATTCCGTTCTGACATCTTCAACTTCATCTAACCCAAATTATTTGGTTTCGCCCACAGAGATCAGTTAGTGCAATTGCTATTTCCTCGGCCCTATCACACTAAAACGTCGGTTGTGAGAACAAAGATATTCGTTGCGCCATTCTGTTTACTACCTATAAGTAGGCCAGACCACGTCTAGCGTAACAGGCTTCGCGATATGTCCCTAAACACTATTACGCTGCATCGCGTCTGGCGCACATATAGCTAGGCCTGCGGCTGACACCCGGGACGAGTTAGTATGACTTGACTAACCACGAGGCCTCTTTTGGATGAGCGTATGCGGAAATAAGACCTGCTGGCCCCCTTATTTTGCATGCCAGCAGCATTTGTCGGAGACTTTTTACTCCAAAAGTAGGGAAATGAAACTTCTGATTTGCCATATATTAAATCTTCTACTTTGACAGATTGTTAGGTAAAAATCAACGTGTAAGCGATACTACATAATCTAGGGACCGTTGAGCCCAAAGGAGGGTATCTCTCGACGCCAAATATGTTGTGTAAGTACAATTTTCGGATATGAAGCCTTTCTTACGATTTAATAAGCTATAGGTCATTTTCACATTATTTTCGACAAGGAATCTACTTCTACGAGTTACCCTTTGGAAACCTATAAAGAAATTTATTTTGCGACCTTTGGGTTTTGATCCTTTTAAAAGTCAATAGATGGTTCCAGCAGTGCCTGTTTAAAGAAGGATTTATAAATGAAATCACCGCCGGAAACAATTCTAAAATAATGGCTTCAACCAGTGAAAACTAAAATTGACAGTTACTAGAGATTTATTCAAGGTCATTCACGTCGAACTGCACTGTGAAATGACAAAAATAAGCGTACTTTGGGTACTGGTTCCGGTCCCGACTTCTTCATTTCTTGTCACAAAGCGCACTGTTAGAAAGGTCTATTTTGGAGCCAGAATGCACATCATCGAACTCAATTTGTCTTTTTAGCCCTTCTGCTTTGAAAAAGCTATCCAGCTGACTTATGCAAACGTGTGTCTGTGAGTCTTCCACTAAAAGGAGATTTGCTAGAGACTTGATATTTTCAGGGTATCGTAAGGTTCACTCAAAGAGAACGAAACGAGGGGGTAATCTCTCCGAGAAAATGCGTACACCTCAACTTGTAACTTTCCTGCTTTCAATCACTTTTCGTAATTTTCCCTTCACTTTTTCATTTTTTTTTCAATGTTTACCTCATTTTTAAACCTACATCGACTCTATTTTATTCATTATTGATCTGATAAAACTACCGCTTTTGACCACATTTTCTTTCCGTCTTCGTCACTATCAGTCAACTTTTTGTCACTTTCACTTGAACTTTTCTAAAAATGTGTAGACCTACTTTCTGTAGTGATTACCCCCTCAGAACGAAACGCCTACGGCAAATCCTGGCAACCACCCCTAAGGGTGTTAATTATTGGGGTATCCAAGGTTCAAATCATAAAGTTATTTTTTAATGTTCTTCTAAGGGGTATCGCTTCAAAGTAGAGCCCTTTGGGCGCAAATTTCGTGCAGGGTCTTTTTTGACGAAAATAAGCTAAAAATTGCTGTAGTGAGCAATAAGTTGAACAAGAAGTCCCGAAAACCGCAACACAGGAAAGGAACTCCCCCCCCCGGGTGAAGCGGCAAGGAGGAGGCAAAGTGGCACCCTAGTGGCATCAGTCTCCACATTTTTTGCACATATGTCTAAATGTACCGAGGCCACCAGGG